AGTCACTTGTCACTTCCTTAAGTAAAAAGATATTACATTAAATATACAGTGCATGGCCCTGGCCAGTGGGGCCCAGCTGGTTGAGCATCACCCCATACGTTGAAAGATTGCTGGTTTGATTCCCCATCAGGGCATATGCCCGGGTTGTGGGATCAATCCCCAGTTGGGGTACGAACGTGAGGCAAATGATCAATGTTTCTCTCTCATATCAATGTTTCACTCTCCCTCTCTAAAAATCAATAAAAGCGTGCACACACACACACACACACACACACACAGTATGTACTATGTTAATCTTTCTAAAATTCAAAGAATCCTGAAATTCCAACACATATTTGGCCCCAATATTTTGAATAAAGTCTTGCAGTCCTGTACATTTCTAATGCCTTGTTAGGGGAAAAATAGGTTAAATAATAGCTTTCCTTATTTTTTTTAAGTCAGCCAGATTCCAGGTTCCCTACAATTATTTGTTTCATGGTTCTAGAGATGCCAAGGGTTCAAAATTGGAGTCTCTACCAAAGAGTTAATCACTATCAATGATAGATTTTTTTTCCTAGAACCCTGAACTGTTAATAAGTCATTAGTAGGATTATGCACATAACATCAGTCTCTTCCAGTTAATAATCAGTTCCATTAGCAGTGTCATGGACTATGCATTTGTTTACCACCTTAACTCTTTTACTTATACTTGAATGCTTAAATAAATCAATGATTGCACTGTATTATCTGCCACCTCACACACCTGTATCAGAGGCCTACTTGCTTAATTCACAATTCAAGTTTTAGTAAATCCACTGAGTTATTATATAGTGTTAAACAGTTGGTAATAAGGATGCATCTGCTAGGATGTTTTCATATACATGTAAGATAAAATCTAAAGCCAGTTGTATTAAATAAGGCATTTATTGGCTCATGTAACTGAAAAGTCTAGAAGCATACTATCTTGGGGGAAGACCTGATCCAGCAGCTCAATTGAGCTGACAAGAGGTATGCTCTTCCTCTGCACTACTCCTCCTGTGCTCGCTTCTTATTCAACTGACTTTCCTTGTATAGTCAGAAGATAGCTGCCAGGAATTTAATGACTACACATTTTCAGGCTAAAATCAGCAGAAGAAAATAAGTGCTTTCATCCCAACATTTCTAGCAAATGTCCTTAGATCTCATTCTGATTAATCTGGCTTAGATCACATGCTTGGCATGATGGCCTTAGGTTAAGATACATGTTCCATTCCTACAATCTCCTCATAACATATATTAAACACATTAAAGCTAATCTTAATGATTTAACCCTTTTATATTACTAAATAATCATATTACCAAATTAAAATTGATGTGTCAAGCACATCATACAACTTTCCATCTTCTTCAAGTTACTCCCCCAGATTTTAAGCACAACTCATCAAGACAAAAAAATAAGTCCTTCTCTGAATGTGAATCACTTTTTGAAGGATTCAGAATGTGCTACCAGATTACAAGGCAGGTTTATAATTCTCATTCTTAACAGAACTGAAAGCAACACTACAGATTTTTCAGGAAGAAAAAGAGACTCTTATCCCATTTTTCAAGAAAGTTGCGGGCAGAATTTAAAGAAAGGATAGAATACATGGATGTCTTGAGTTAGGTAAAAATAAAATGGTTCTAGTTTCATAGAGCTTTGAAATACAAGCAACTAAATAATCCATCCTGTAACTCAAGACTCTTCTCACCACATACTAGATCATCACCAAATCTCCCCTGCCCGCAACTTTCCCACTCCTTCCCACTCTCTACTAGGTCCTAAGAAAAGAGCAAAGATGCACACTTTAGGGAGTTTTTTGAGAATGCACACTCCAAAGTCAAATAAACAAATTAATCCTGATCATAATTCCTACTACCACCAATGTCCTTTATTCCTATAATTAGCACAGAAAATATAAAGTAAACTATTCTGGTCTTGGCTGGTTTGGCTCAGCGGTTACAGTATCAGCCAGCAGACCAATGAGTCATGGGTTCGATTCCAGTAAAAGGCATATACCTTGGTTGCAATTCGTCCCTGGCCCTGGTTGGGGTCGTGCAGGAGGCAGCTACTCTATGTGTCCCTTTCACATTGTTTCTCTCTCTCTCTCTCTGTTCCTCTCTTCCCCTCCCACTCTATCTGAACAAAAACGGAGGAATGCTCTTGGGTAAGAATAAAAAAACAAAAAAAAGTAAGTAAACTATTGTTTTCACGACAGAGAAGAACGCAAAATTTATTACACTGAACGCCAATACTCACTATAGTAAAGTTGAACAGACAAAAAAGGCTAAATCCAAGCAACATTTTTAGAGAACTAACCACTTGAAAATGTGTTACACACCAGTCATCTTAAATCAAAAGTCAAACTTCATTCATACTCCTAGAGGAAAGCAGTGTGGTCAAAGAAAAAAATGTGAATTAAAAGAAAATCTCTATAATTACTCAATTCTGTAGATTGGTTTTTCAAATACTGTTCAAATAATTCAATTCAGTAAATATGCACTGGTGGCTTTATTAAGAAGATAGGACTAGTGTTAGACATAGTAAGGATGTAAACATAGTCCTTGACTTCATAAAGTGTGTAATGTACTACAAAGGCAATATACACAAACATACATTACCGGAAAGCGCAGAACATAATCAAGTAGAAATGGATCAGGCATGAAAAGGCAGTGGGTAATCAAAAAGGGGAGAAATAAAATGAATCAGGATAATTTCCACAGCAAGGAACAGAACATCTAAGGGCAAAATTACTTAAACAATAAGGAAATTTATTATCTCACACAGCAAGAAACCCACAATTAAGGAGGTTCTATTAAATGGGGTTCTAGTTCAAGTTTCTATAATTGTCTTGCCTCTGCCCCCCCTTTACATCACTTTCAGTATAGTAGTCAAGATGAATACAGATGTTACATCCAGATAAAACAAGCTCTGGGGAGAAGAGGGACCATCTCTTCTTTTTGAAAAGTGAAAAATCCCTTTCCAGAAGTCTCTTGTAGACTTCCCTTTTATTTCCCATTGGCCAAACCTGGGTTTTATGCCCATTCCTGAAACAATCACTTCCAAAGAAAATGAGACCTACCATAACCAAGATCAGAATGGATACTGGTAACTATCATGACCATCACGTCATTGTTTTGTTGTTATTAATGTTGTCTATAGTGCACAATGGCCATAATAAGGATAAGTCCTAAAGCATAAAGAATTTGATCATGGAGTATTTTGCTGCAGGACATAGTTGCTGGCTCAGTGTTATGTGAACCATTTTTTTCAGATTTGTAGAAATCTTCCTCTGTATTCTGAGGTAATGTAGCAGAGGCAGCTACAGGAGAAGGCCTAGTTTCATCTGTTTCCACACTTGGGTAGAAGGCACCCTTTGGTGGGGTTTCTTGCACTGACTGTGAATGCATAAAAAAAAAATCTCTCAAGAGTTTGTCAGCCTTGGTCTCCAGTAGTGTCATCTTGGCATTAAAAAGCTTCAACTGATTGCCCATGTTTGCAAGTAGATTGTTCATCTCCCTCTCCAACTGCTCTAGTATGGAGACAGATTTGTTGTGAATGGCACTTTCCCCATCACTTGATGGGATGTCAAGTGGCTCATTACTTCTTTTCCTCTTTGTTCATGCAACACGTGGAGTCCGTAGAGTCGCTTTTTCTGTGATAACTTTTTCAGCTATCAGTCCTGAAACGTGTGAGGACGAAATCTGGTCATCAGACTCGGTCGGATTCTTCCTCCATGATCAATCCAAGATGTGCATGGTGGGCAATGGGAATGGTTGTCGGGGACCATTTGGTGGGACTTTTTTTTTTTGGTGGGCTCAGCATTCTGCATCTTTTTTAAAAATTTATTTTTATTTATTGATTTTAGAGAGAGGAACGGAGAGAGAGTGAGAGAGAGAAACATCAATGAGAGAGAACATTGATTGGCTGCCTCCTGCATGCCCCCCACTGGACCACAACCTGGGCATGTGCCCTGACCAGGAATCAAACCAGTAACCTCTTAGAGCATGTGTCGACACTTAACCACTGACTCACACCAAGCGGGCCATTCTTCATCTTTAAAGATAATTCGGGTTTTTTTGTCACCTTCTGTTTGCAAAGTTGGTAACCTGCTGTGTGGTCTTTTACATGCCTTCAATGATGTAGTTACTATATCTGGTGTAATGCCATGTGAGTTTAGAATTGAGAAAATTGAGAGTTGAGAAATGAGGAATTAAAAATAATTCTAATAAATAAAGCAGTAATTTCTAAGATAGAACTGCTGGTGGATTGATTGACACCTTGTTTTTTTTTTTTTTAAAGAGGATGCAAAGAACGATTGCTAGAAACATTCTTGCATCAATCCTCAGATTGATCGAGCAAGGTAAAGGGAAAATGTAGTGCTATAAGTCATCTGCAAACCATGCAGTAAAAAGATGGCAGGGGGCTTGGTCTATTTAACCTATTTCATCTTCTAAACTCACTAAACAGAGAAGGATAAAATGGGACCAACACCCAACAGTGTTGGCTAAATTATTTCAAGGAAGTCAGGCCTTGGAGGATGGTATGATTTGGACTGGTGGAAGAAATAAAAAAGCACAAAAACAAAGGAAGGAATGTGCCTAACTGAAGAAAAAAGTAAAACTGTAATCATACATGAAACACACTGTTAAGAGCAAAGATTTCTTTTAAAGTGGACTGTTGTCATTCTTATACAAAAGCTAACTTACTATTTAACAGTCAGTAAATGCTGAGAATGTAGGAGAAATAGTACTCTTTTTAAGGAAAGTATTTTAGTTATCAGTGGGGTTATTCAGACTCACCACTCCTTGTCAACAGTCACCCACTCAGCTGTCTCTGAGTTGAAAAAATTCCATATTATGCACAGAATAGAGACAACTGCAGCCCTGGCCGGTTTGGCTCAGCAGTTGGAGCATCGGCCCGCAGTCCATGGGTTCAGTTCCTACCAGGCGCACATACAAAAAAAAAAAAAAGAAAGAAAGAATAGAGATGACTGCAGACTCACTGTCAGTAGTTGTTCCTTGAAGGTTTCTTCTTACTTGGGTTGAGGTTTCACTCAAAAATCCACACACTCACAACTGGCCCTATCCATAAATGAAAGCATACAATTAGGAGGCAAAATGTTACAGAAAGCAATTCTCCCTTCCCCCATCTATAATTAACTGATTCATACGAAAATTGAACTTAAACGCCAGATTCACTAAGCACCATGGTCAAATTAAGCACCCTGTATTTCAAAAGTTGTAATGTACTTATTACAGTTACCACCCTTTCCCCATCATATAAATTTATCACTGTCCATAGATACCAGGTACAGCTCTTATCAAAGGTCCCCCTACTGGGCAGAATCCAACAGACATCTGTTTAGTGAACCCACACAAGGCTGGCATACAACTTGTGTTAAAAGAAAGCTGACTACATTTATACATCAGAAGACAACATGAAAATCATGATTTCTGAAGTCTCTTGAAAAATACCAAAAGATCCGACAATACTAGGCCCACATTCACACATGGTAACAATCTGTTGGAGCTGATTAGCAGCTAATCCTTCAGATAGGACATGGTTTTGCAGAGCTCCACAGATGCCATTACTCTTATATATAACCCAGCTCAGTTATCTGTCTGACCCTGTTGAGTTTCTAAGCACTGCTATTTATTTATAATAGCTCACAGGCAACATTTATTACTATCAAAGCCAAGCATGATACATACAACACAGTACAGGGATAACCACAGTAGCTTTGGAGTCAGAGGGCTCTGGGTTTGGGCTCTAATTCTACATACAACTAGCTAAGCTGTGTGACCTCAAACCTGTTTTTAACCTCTCTAAAATATATTTCTTCATTTACAAGCCTCCAAATAAACATATAAGCACTTAACACAATCAACAAACAGGCCGAAAATCTAGTATGTCTAAGCTGAACTGATAATCTCAAATCCACTGCTTTCTAAGACTTTCTCATCTCAGTAAATCGCAGGGATCCATGCGGTTAGTGCTCAAGCCTCAAATCTCGAAGTCCTTATCAAATACTGTCCCTCATCCTCCCACAACCATCACCAATGCACTTGATTTTTCTCTCTGAAACATATAATTTGAACGAATACTTAGAATTCCATAAAAAACAAAAACAAAACACAAATAGCAATTATTTTCTCAGAATTACTTTCCTGAAACTGTCTATAAATTCAACTATTTAAATAATGGTAGTTTGAAATTTCAAGGTTCCATATTATAAAGAATATTAGTATTTCATTAAAAGAAAAATGAACACAAAATGGTAGGGATGCCACACATCACTCCTGGCAAGGTACTGATGCACTACATTTTGTAAGCTTATACATTTCTTCAAATCTAAACTGAAAATGCACCAGGGCACTGTGCTTAATCTGAAAATGAAATTAAGAAAACAGCCCTGTCCAGTTTGGCTCAGCAGTTAGAGCGTCGGCCTGCAGTCCAGAGAGACCTGGGTTTGGTTCCTGCTAAGGGCACATACCTCAGTTGCACTTTGTCCTCGGCTCTGGTTGGGTCGTGTGTGAGGCAACCACTCAGTGTGTCCCTTTCATGTCGATGTTTTTCTCTCAGTCTCTCTCTCTCTCCCTCCCTTCCTTCCTCCCTACCCCACTCTCTCCCTCTCATTCTATCTGAACAAAAAATGGAAAAATGTCCTCAGGTGAGGATAGAAAAAAAAAACCAGAAAAACAATTAGAACTAATAAGTGAGTTTAGGAAGGGTACAGGATTTACAAGATCAATACTCAAAAACAACTGTTTGTATAGAACAACTGTTCCAAGAACAATCAAAACTGAAATTTAAAATAATAATGTTATTTATAGTCTAGTCAGAAAATATGAAATAATTAGGAATAAATTATCGATTGATGTGCAAAGAAGATAAACAGATGGAGATACACATTATATTCAAAAGTCAGTAGACTCAATCTACCTATACATACTTGGTCAATCAATTTTCCACAAAGATGCAAAGACAATTCAGTGGGGGAAAGGACAGCCTTTTTCAACAAATGCAGATGGAGTAATTGGAGATCCACACCTCGTAACATATACAACAATGAACTCAAAATGGACCACAGACCTAAAGGTAAAACCTAAAACTATGAAACTTCATAAAGAAAACATAAGGGAAGATTTTTGTGGCCTTGGCTTACACAAAGATTTAAATCTTAGATACAACACAAAAACATAATACATAGAAGACGAAAGTGATAAATAGGACTTCATCAAAATTACTAACATCTACTATTGTTAACAGAATGAAAGCCACATTACCTGAAAATGAACTTGTATCCAGAATACACAAAAAACTCTCAAAACTAAATAATAGAAAACCCAATTTAAAACAGGGACAAATGGCCCTGGCCGGTTTGGTTCAGCGGTTAGAGCGTCGGCCTGCGGTCCTGAGAGACCCGGGTTCGGTTCCCACTAAGGGCGCGTACCTCGGTTGCAGTTTGTCCCCGGCCCTGGTCGGTTGTGCGAGTGGCAGCCACTCGATGTGTTCCTTTCACATCGATGTTTCTCTCTCTCTATCTGTTCCTCTCTCTCCCTCCCACTCTACCTGAACAAAAAATGGAAAAATGTCCTCGGGTGAGGATAAAAAAAAAAAAAAAAAATTAAAACAGGGACAAATGATCTGAACACACTCTTCACCAGTGATATACAACAGTGCAAATAAGCACATGAAAATATGCCCAGCATCACTTTCATTAGGAAAATGCAAGGGTATGGAGCAGTAGGAACTCTCTTTCCCATATTGTTGGTCATAATGTACAAATATGTAGTCTAGTTGTAATTTTAATGTGGTTGTGGGAGTAGGTGAATACTGCGTTTACCTGTGCCACCATCTTGACCAGAAGTCTCTTGATTCACCTGTTGATAGACAGTTGAGTTGTATCCAGTTTTGGCAATTACAGATAGAGCTGCTATAAACAGTCCTTTGTGGACATACACTTTCATTTCTCTTAAATACCTAGGAATGGAATGTGTGGGTTGTATGGTAAGCATGTGTCTAATTTTTTAAAAAACTGCCCAAGTGTATTCAAAAGCGGTTTTACCATTTCACATTATGACCAACAATATAGGAAAGAGAGTTCCTATTGCTCCATACCCTTGCATTTTCCTAATGAAAATGATGCTGGGCATATTTTCATGTGCTTATTTGCACTGTTGTATATCATTGGTGAAGAGTGTGTTAAGATCATTTGTCCTGTTTTAAATTGGGTTTTCTATTATTTAGTTTTGAGAGTTTTTTGTGTATTCTGGATACAAGTTCATTTTCAGGTAATGTGGTTTTCATTCTGTTAACAATAGTAGATGTTAGTAATTTTGATGAAGTCCTATTTATCACTTTCGTCTTCTATGTATTATGTTTTTGTGTTGTATCTAAGATTTAAATCTTTGTGTAAGCCAAGGCCACAAAAATCTTCCCTTATGTTTTCTTTATGAAGTTTCATAGAACAACCATCATTCAGAACCACCTGAAATCGAGCTGATGGAAGTCCTACACTTACAAAGTTAAAGAAGACACATCGAAATTAACAGAAGGGGTAGAGGGGAGGAGGCACGGAGCAGCTGGCGGACAAAAATCAGGAGGGACACCTCAGCTGTGAAGGTTCTCCCTGAGGAGCAAGGGGTCCCTGTCCCACACCAGGACCTTCAGTTCAGGGTTCCAGTGCCAGGAAGAGAAATCCCATAATGTCTGGCTGTAAAAACCAGTAGGATGAGGCTAAAGCTATTAGAGCCCCAGGAAATTCCTCCTTTTTAAAGGACCTGCACATGACTTAGTTGGTCTTGCTCCCTCCAGGCTTGTGTGGGGGAGGCAGCTTGAAAGGCACCAGAGACATACAGGGAAGAATTGAATTGTTTGGCATTGGAGTGAGAGCTGGAGAGTCAGTTTTCTCCCAGATAGTCCTGCTTGTGGATGCCATTATTCCTTCAGTGAGCTCTTCCCCCACTGGTGGGCACACAGGAGCCATATGTGGGATACCAGCAACCTGGCTCACACTGTTTGCTCCGCCCTGGTGATTTCTGAGGCCTTGCTCCACCCAACTTCTGAGACCACCCAAGCTGGTTCCAGTGGTTTTACCATAAGATCGGCCTATCTTGGCTCCTGCTTCACATTTGGAATATAAGGAAGCAAAACACACCCAGTCAGAACAGAAAAAGGAAAAAAGAATTTGAAAAAAGGAGGATAGTATAAGGAGCCTCTGGGACAACTTCAAGCTTACAAACGTTTACATCATGGGGGTGCCAGAAGAAGAGAGCAAGAAATTGAAAACCTATTTGAAAAAATAATGACAAAAAACATCCCTAACTTGATAAAGGGAATAGACATACAAGTCCAGAAAGCACAGAAAGTCCCAACAAGATGAACTCAAAGAAGCCCACACCAAGACACATCATCATCAAAATGCAAAAGGTTAAAGACAAAGAGAGAATCTTAAAAGCAGCGAGAGAAAAGCACTTAGTTACCTACAAAGGAGCACAAATAAGACTGGCAGCCGATTTCTCAAAAGAAACTTTGCAGGCCAGAGGGAGTGGCAAGAAATATTTAAAGTGATGAAAAGCAAGGCCCTACAACCAAGATTACTCTATCCTGCAAAGCTATCATTTAGAATCGTTGACCATATCAAGAGTTTCTCACACAAGAAAATGCTGAAGGAATTCATCACCACCAAACCAGTATTATATGAAATGTTGACGAGTCTTCCTGAAGAACAACAAGAATATGCACAATAAAATGGCAACAAATTACTATCTATCAACAACTGAATCTACAAACAAACGAACAAGAAGTACAGAAACAGACTCATACAGATAACATTTTGATCATTGCCAGATGAAAGAGTGGTTGAAAAGGGTGAAGGGGTTAAAAAGCACAAATTGGTGCCCTGGACAGTTTGCTGAGTGGTTAGAGCATCAGCCCGCAGACCAATGAGTTCCAGATTCAATACCGGTCAAGGGCACATACCTGAGTTGCGGTTCATCCCCAGCCATGGTTGGGGTCAGGTGGGAGACAAGCAGTCCATGTGTCCCTCTCACTGTGATGTTTCTTTCTCTCTCTATCC